TATGGGGGACGGGGCTGCCCCTTGTATGGAGGTGTGGTGACTGATGAAGGAGAAGAAAAGGCCAAATGCAGTTCCAGAACACTGTTATACACGCTGGTGTTAATGTTTATAATTAAATGAGAAAAGTAAAAGATAGAATCATATTCAGATGTGGAAACACGTTGGTTTAAATTTCATTGTTTTTATGTGTTTGCAAAAATGTCACCTTCGAAAGTCCCTGCAGTGGTCCATCTCTGTCATGGCTCCCAGGCTGCCACGGTCCCTCCTGGCTGGGAGGAAGCTGAGGTTGTAGACATCTGCCCTCGCCCTCACCGCAGTCCAGGGGTGCCCTGTGAATTGCCCACCTACTGGCATCCAGCTACTTCGAGGCAGCTTGGGCATGGCTTCAGATTTCCCATGGCTCAGGTCTCTAAGCCCAGATCTCCCAAGGCCCTGGGGCCTGAGAGCACCCCTCACCCAACCCCCACCCCCAGGGCCACAGCCATAGCTGCCATGTCATTAGGCCCCGCCCTCCATTGATTGGCATCTGGTTCTGCTTCCCTCCTCTGCTTTCACCTGTGTGTTGATCATTTTTTTCCTTTGAATCTTGTTTCTTCCTTTGAACCCTGGAATTGCTTGGAATTACCGTGTCTGTGTTTTCCTTCCTCATTTGTGATCTTAGCTGAAAAATCTTTCTTTCCATTGGTGTCAGTGCTGTCATCTCTGCTGTCCTATGGAGTGACACGTTTTGGGAGGTAAATCCGTCCTCCTTGTTGTGGCTTGCCCGGCTGTGAACATCCCAGTGCTGGTCGATGCGGGCCCCAGCCACGAGGCTTCCCAGGTCGTGCCTCGTTCCAGTTTGCTCCCTTCTCGGTCTCCCTCCCTCCTTGCCCTATGGGTGGCAGCATGCCTGGTGGACAGTGTGTACCTTTGAGTGGGAAGTTCTTCGGTTAAAATCTGTCACGGCTGTTGGACATCTCAGAGTCTTGATTCAGAGACCATTGTCACCCCACAGTGGACTCTGTCTAGTCCTTGGACCAGGTGGTTTTGTAGATCAACGTCTAACAGATGGAAGCCAGGGAAAACCTGATCTTGCCTGCAGTTCCGTCTGGGCCATACACCTGGGCCAGGGCTCCTCTGGGTGGTCGTGGACCTTCCCAGGCTGTCTCCCCAGGGGCCAGACATACCAGCCCGGGAGTATTTTCCGCAGCTTGTCCTGGTCCTGACCCTGCTGTCACAGCCTGGAGTCCAGAGTGTCCTGTGCCACTCTGTGTGCCTTTGCCAAGGTGGGGGATGCTTTCTGTGGCAGGGGATATTTATCTCATTCTAACAATAAGGGTAATTCCAATTCTCCTGGCGTGTAGAAGACAAATCGCCGCGGGGGCTCTCTGAGTTAAATGCCGTTACTTCATTACTTTGAAGAGTAACAAATGGCCCATTGTGAGAAATGACACCTAGAATAGGCCACTGACATTTCCTCAGATAAAATAACAAGCCAGCTAAACAGACCCAGAGAGCGAGGCCTGCCTGGCTCACACACCCCTGGCTCTGCGAATCAGAGCTGCAACGGCCCAGCTGCGTCTGTGCCCTCGGGGAGAGGCTGTCCTCGGTTCCCTGTTTACTCTTATTATCCCTGAGGAAATGTCTCCATCCTTGGAAGGCCCTTGAAAGAGGATATGTCGATGGGAAACCTCTCTGAGGAAGCCCGCTGATTATTGTTGCTGATTCAGTTCCCTGAGATGCAATAAAAATCAGACCTGCTCTAGGCCGACAGGATGTTGAGTTGATTCTGCCCAGACTGTTTTCCCAGGGAGGAGGTGGGGCCCTGGGGAGACCACTTACACGCCTGTCTACGTGCTTGGCTTTTGCTGGCGTTCCTTCCAGTAGGAAAGGCGTTACAAGGGGACCGGACTTCGAGTCCAGGCAGGCCTCTCCTGCTCACTCCCACCATTGCCTCACAAAGCATACTGATCAGCGTGTGGAGGCCTAAGTTTCTGCATCTGTGGACCGGCGGAAATAGCACCTCCCACCTTGGGCTGCCGTGGGAAATTGGGAGACAGGGCCTTTCCCTGGGAGTCCCTGTGAGGGCTTCATCAGAGGGTGTGCTCACATCAACCCGGGCTCCTGGGCCAGCAGAGTTTTAAGGCCAGACACCTTGCCACTTGCTGGAGGGAGAGCCTGCAGCCCTGCAGGGGGCCGGTGGGTGGACAGAGCCACCAGGAGAGTGCCAGTGTCATGGACACACCTGCCTGGGAGGAGGGTCCGGGGACGGAGCCATGGTCAGCCAGCAGCACTTGTCATCCTAGCCCCACATTTGAGGAACGGGGGACTGGGACCTGCCTTCTGGGGTGAAAACACAGGCCGAGAGAGTGAGGGCCTGCGAGCGCCCAGTATGCTGTGGACGACAGTGTCCTTCGCACGCCGGGTCCCAGGAGGGACCCATCCATTTCTCCATGCCACTGGGTGACACTGACATGGATGTTTTCAATCTTTAAAGTCACTTGTTTTCCCCTTTAATTCAGGAGCATCTTGAGAGCGTCAAGTCTGTCACTCATGTCTGTGCCTGGTGCCTGGCGTATAGGGACGGATCCCACACAGGGGACCTGCTCTGTGTCCACGTTACCCTCAGTGGAGACAGCGCAGGGTCTACCAGCCGAGGCATGCAGAGACGCGGCGTGGCCTGGCCCTGGCGGGGGGTGGCCTGACCGTAGGGGGTGCGGCTCTATCGTGAAGAGGAATGAGGCACTGACACAGGCTGCCATGTGGATGACTGGAGAGCATCATGCTCAGTGAGAAGGAGCCGGTCGCAGAGGGCCGCAGAGCCTCATTCCAGCAGTGTGAAATGTCCAGCATAGGCAACTCCATAGAGACAGGCAGGTTCGTGGTTGCCAGACGCGGGGTGGGGAGTGGGGAGCGTCCGCTAAAGGGTCCAGAGTTTCTTTCTGTGGGGACGGAAAGGCTCTGGAACTAGTGGTGACGCTTGTGCAGCCTCGTGACCCTACTAAAGACCACTGCGTCTCACACGCTAAAGAGTGGATTTTATGGCAGTTGAATTATCTCTCAGTTTACAAAACCAGGACCCAATCAAAGCAATACCCATGGAGTGACTGAGGATCCACCGCCACCACCCCAGAGAGAGGAGTGATGCGCGAACTGGCTGGAATCCGCCCACCCTCTCGTGTTCCCACAGGCCCCGCCATGTTGGATGTGTCCGGGGCTGTCCCCTCCCTGTCCAGACCCTCGAGCGCCCAGCTGCTTGCTCCTGCTGGAGGGTCAGACACGGAGGCGCTCTTCCCCTTTTATCCTGCTGGTTGTGGGGTGAACCAAGAACCGCGGGAGGTGGCGTGTCACCTCGTCTCTTCCAGTCACACTTCAGTGTGAGTTAGCAATTGTGCAGAGCTTCAGTGTGAGTTAGCAATTGTGCACAAAACCAGGACTCCAATCAAAGCAATACCCATGGGAGTGTCCATAACCCCTTGCTCACCCCAGAGAGAGAGTGATGCGCGAATCAGCTGAATCCGCCACCCTCCCTCGTGGTTCCCACAGGCCCCGCCATGTTGGATGTGTCCGGGCTGTCCCCTCCCCGTCCAGACCTCGAGCGCCCAGCCGCTTGCTCCTGCTGGAGGCCAGACACACGGAGGTCTTCCCCTTTGTCCTGCTGGTTGTGTGTCTCAAGAACCGCGGAGGTGGGCAGCACACTGCTCTCTTCCAGTCACACTTCAGTGTGAGTTAGTACTGTGTGAGCCTTCATGTGTGGGAGCAGCAACACAGGTTTGTGGAAGTGAGTTAGCAATTGTGCAGAGCTTCAGTGTGAGTTAGCAATTGTGCAAGAGCTTCAGTGTGAGTTAGCCATTGTGCAGGGCCGCGGCTGGGAAGCAGCGCGATGGGATAGGACTGTACGCAACACGAATGTGAGGTGGGCCTCTGGGTCCTCGGGGAGCACTTAGGGACCTGGGTTCTGGGACCAGTAGGTGGCACTGCATCTAGCACCCTCCTCCCGGCGTGTACCAGGCTGCTTGGCATAGCCACGGCCCTGCCCCTCTTTACCCCACTGTTGTCAGGGCTCCAGGGTGGTGACGGCAGTGTGGTGACAGCTGAAATGAGCGCGCACGTTCACAGTGCGCAGAAGAGGGCCTGGCGCATCAGCAGCCCCCGGTCAACACCGGCATCGTTAACATCCCTATCATGATTGTGATGTTTATCTGCTTAAACCTTTCTAAATATATTCTGGGCTGAAATGTTTCTTTTCTTAAAGAACATTTTCCTTGCGAAGATGCCATGCGAATAAAACTAAAGTGAAAAAAAAAATTAAAAATAGGGTAGATAATTTTTAAAACATTTATGAGTATTTTGCTGGATGACAGCAGTTTTGTAAGGATCTAAAATTAGTTTGTTCAAATATCTGATACGCCATTTCAATTAGGCGTCTGTTTTGCATTTTAAAAACTTTTAGATTATGTTTTCTCATTCGGGTTTTTGTACTTTAAGAAGGAAATTATTTAGAGCACCATTGTCCATTCTATCTTTGAAGTACATCTGTGTTACGGCTTTCTGGGGTTTTCGATCCTAGCATAGAAGTATTTACCCAGTGTAGTTTGGGAAACTCTAACTTTGGAAAGAGGTTTTTAGAAGAATGATTGCCAAATGAATATGTAAATATATCAGAAGCATTTTCAAAATCTTCTGAAAAAACTTTCAGATCTGTTAGGATTAAGTAATGTATTCTATTTTCTCTCTTACTAGAATGTGAAATGCCTGAGAAGCAATAATTTATAATGTATTAATTATGTTAATTAATTGGAGAGGATTCAGAATATTAATTATCTGCAACTAATTAGGTGTTAAGATTGAGAAGCAGTAAGTGATGAGGTGGAAGGCTGCATGAGTCATTTAGCTAGACTGATGAGAGTGGGTGGGGGAGCTGGATGTGGGCTCAGCTCTCCTCCTCCGTGGGCCTCCTCGTGAGTAAAGGTCCTGTGTGGCTAAGTCTCCTTGTCTTTTGCATGCTCGGCGCCGCCCAGAGGCAGAGGAGGTGGACATGGTGGACGTCTCCGGCGTGCCTGCAGAGGTGCTGCGCAACATTGAAGCCGACACCTACTGGTGCATGAGCAAGCTGCTGGATGGCATTCAGGTGAGCGCCCACGCCCACAGGGACACAGCCCACGTCCACAGCCCCCGCGGTGAAGAGAGCTTGAGGCCTTGGGCTGCTCCTGAGTCTCAGCGTGGCCGAGCAGTCTCTCCTGAAGCCTCACTTTCCTACATCTGGAATAGCACAGACCCCTCCGGGTTGACGAAGTGTGAGACACAGTGCGTGTACCCCTCATTCTGGGCACGGTCACCGTGTCCTGCTGAGGGCCCGGCAGGAAGGGAGGTGCAGAGTCTCATCCCCTGCTGCCTGCAGACTGTAGCCACCACCACAAAATGGGGCACAGGCTCACGGTAGCTGCGTGTGTGTGGCTGGCTGTGTTAAGAGGGATCCCCCTTAAAGGGCCTCAGATCGGGGGCCGCAGCTCCTGGTCTCTGACACCAGGCCGTGAGCCCTCGTCCTGAAGTATTGGTGGCGGGGGCTCCACGTGCGTGGGGCGCTGCAGCCGTGCCTGCTCCTAGAGAGCAACACAAGCTGGTAGGAGTCCCCTGCACCACAGTAGGGACTCTGCGGGTCTCTGCAGAGACTAACTAGGGTTAGTGGCTGAGATTTTTGTAGAAAAGCCACAGGTCTCCCAGTGACAGGGCCGATCCTGTGGAATGGCGTAGGGGCAGAATTCCACACAGTGCCTGGGAAGGGCCTTGTTGGTAGGCGAGTCAGGAATGAGGACTGGAGCCAACTGATACTACAGAGGAATGACTGAGGGGGATGGACAGGCCCTGGAGCGGGTGTGGGCGTCTTAGTTTATCTGAGGCTGGCACATCCTTTCTAGACACCTGCTTCCTATGAGGTGCTGTGCTCCACACCCGGGAAGAGTGGCCAGTAAGGGTGAGGCCTGCTCCGGAAGCTCACTGGGGGTGGAGGGTAGACGGGTAAGTATGGCATGAGGGGACAGAAGGCACTCGACCCCAAAGACCCAAAGGTGGGAAATAGTAGATTTCAGGGGACAGTGAATTTTGCTGACAGAGCAGGCAGGACTTGTCAGGCAGAGGAAGGTCAAAGGCCAGAGCACGGTTTGGGTCGATAATCGTTTTCTGAGGAACGAAATGCCAAGGCCATCACAGGTGTTCGCATGTAGGTGGCCCTCTGCTGAGAGCTGGGGCCTCCTGGGAGGTTCTGCATGTTCTACCAGCATCCTTGTTATCCCAGCTCAAAGGGGGGCCCTCATCTGAGAGAGACAGAAACGGGGTTGTCACTTGTCATCTGCATTGCCTAGCAGGGCTTGACTTTTCCTGAGCCATTGCGGTAAAGGTTGTTCCTGATACCCCTAAGTGAAGAGGTCTCAGCTCATCTACTGGATTCGAAATTGTCAGAATATGGCTTTTATAGCCTGTGGTCTAAGGTTTAGACTCCAGGTTTAGTTTGAATATATTAGCTGAAAGGTTCTGTTAAGGAAAGATGTGTGGTTTTTGCTGTTACTTTTCATAATGTAGGAATGAAAAAGGAGAAAGTAGAACTCTGTCGTACAGTTGGAGAATGGAAACCTTGTATCTATTGGCTGGTCCAGACTCCTCCTGACTTACTTTGTTCCTTGTAAAGAAAAATGTGCCCACTAGAGACATATTTTGGCCCAAGCACCAATTTATCATTTCCCCTCCTTTGCTAATATTTTCATACATTTTATTCTTTCTCCTAGACCTTTCGGCTTTTTGCCCTTTTAGAAAAAGGATTGAATCATAATGTAAAACTTTATAAATTTCAAATGTCACTTCTCTGATGGTGAGTGATGGGACTTGTGCCATTTAAATACAAGATTATCTGGCCTCTATTTGTAAATAAAATCTGCTGTACAATGAAATCGATGCTGGCTTTTCATTTTTCACCTGAGATTTGTAGCCTGATGAAACGGTTTATTGGCAGGGCCGATGAGCGTAAGGGATCATGCTTTCCTGGCGCGTGTGTTTGTAGCACATCGCCGTCCCGTGGCAGCCGTTTATCTTTCTCTTACCTGCCACGACGGATTCCACGTGATCCTCCCAGGAGCAAGAGTTGGGGGATGTCAGTGCCCACCATCCAGGGGACTTGGCAGCTCAGCTGTGATTCCCATAGATAAGGCCACCCGAGCAGAGCTCCTCCTGGGGACTGGTCAGTGTTTACAAACACTGCCGCTGTTTTAAGTTCAGAGAAGTATGAGGCCATGTACTCACTTAAAACCAAGGCAACATGTGGACTGGTGTGTCCGCTCCCGGAGGACCTGGCCGCTTCTGCCTCTTAGCTCCTTTCCCTACTCTTGGTCTTACTATCTCCATTTCATTCTTCCTGGAACTGCTGGATCCATCTTCCTCAAGCACCCTTTTCATCACGTCATCACCCTGATTGAACCCCTTGGGGAAACTCTCTCTTGGTTTTCTGAAGTGCGCGCTCTCAGCCTGGCCTCCGCCAGTCGTTCCCAGCGCTCTTTCACGGGCGAGTTTATTCATCAGCTCTATGGCAGCCGTCCACGCCATTGCTGCAGAGGCTTTAGTGGAGCCGCTGAACCAGAACCATGTGCCAGGGGCTCTTCCTCACCAGGAAGAGGATCTTAAAGGGCCTCTAGCCCCACAGTTTCTGTGATTGGTGGGTAGTCACCATGGGAATGAATATGAGGAACTAACAGTGTCTCCACCGTGACAGTGCTTCTTGGCGTGGGCATTCCCAGGACAGTTTGGAGCTCGGTTATACCCAGCACACAAGGCTGAGACCAAGAGAGATGAGGCCCATTGCCCAGGTGACATGGCTTGTGTTAAAACCCACGTTGGCTGCTCTATGACCTTTCCTGGCTGAAATACATAGAAGTGAGTTCCATTTGCAGGGGAAGTTCTAGAGGGCAGAAACCACATCTTTTTTTTTTTTTTTTTTTTAACCTTTGGATGTCCTGAATAGTCATAACTATGTTTTTGACTCACCTTGGAGCCTCAATTTGAGATTCCATATTCTACTTGTTTTCAGTAATTCATCAACTTTGTCATTTTGGCCAGAATGGGTGAAGCACCTGCCCTCTCCAGGTGCTCAGAGAGGCGGAAGACTTTGGGGTGTGGGTCGGTATCACCCCTCTGTCCCCAGGAAGCTCAGAGCCTGGTGGGATGGAGCGGGGGTAGAGGACAGCTGATGGAGGCGAGGGACAGAGTGCTGGGAGAGGAGGCTTTTAGCTCCCGGTAAGACGGCGAACTAGGAAAAAGAACAAACCACTCTTCTCCCAACAAATGCCTGGAGACGTTAGATGATTGGTCTGTTCTCGCGCTGCTTAAGGAAGTACCTGACACTGGGTAATTTATAGAGAAAGAGGTTTAATTGGCTCACAGTTCCACAAGCTGTACATAGCTGAGGAGGCTTCAGGAAACTTTCGATCATGGCAGAAGGTGAAGGGGAAGCCGGTGCGTCTTACATGGCCGGAGCAGGAGGGAGGGGTTGGGGGAGGTGCCACACACTTTTAAACAACCAGGTCTCCTGATGGCAGCGCTAGCGGGGATGGTGCTAACCCATTAGAAACTGCCCCCCCTCCCCACCATGATCCGGTCACCTCCAGCCAGGCCCCGCCTCCAGCACGGGGAATTATAACTGAACATGAGATTTGGGTGGGGACACAGATCCAAACCGTATCAGCGGTATTAAACAAAGATTGTTCAACACGCATTGTGGGTCTCCTTAAGAGCAGCAGCGAGGTCCTCCAGGAGTGAACAGCGCTGACTCCACTGGCTGACGCTAGTGAACTGGAGGGAATTGTCAGACCACCTCATGGCTAGGAGTGCAGGCTTTCCTGCCCTGGCAAGGTGCGATCACGGAAGCCAGTCCCGTGCAGGGAGATCAAGAGCTGCCCAGAGCAGAGACACGACCTCTGCCGTGGACACGCCCAGGCCTGTCAGGTGCCTTGGACTCTGCATTCCAAACATTATTAAGAGTTCGAAGAGCTTTTGTTTGTGTGGGGTTAATTCTCTTGATAACTGCCATCTTAGAAATTCAAATAGAGAAAATTAAAAATACTTAGTAATTTATTTAAAAACAACGATGAAAAACCCATCACGTATTATTATAAGTAATATTTTTATGGTAAATTGCATTTTTCAAAATAAAAATATTTAGTGAGAAGAAAGGCATTGTTTTACGTTTTTGCAAATCTCCTTAATGTGTAACTTCATAGAAGAATTCTCATATCTACTTCTACATTCAGTTTGTTGTGGTAGTTTTTGTTTTGGCTGAAGAATGTGAAAAAAATCCAGCATTATCTAGATACGTAGTTGGAAAAGGAAGTGTTTTTTTTTTTTTTTTTTGAGATGAAGTCTCGCTTTGTCACCCAGGCTTGAGGGCAGTGGTGCAGTCTCAGCTCACTGTAACCTCTGCCTCGCAGGTTCAAGCCATTCTCCTGCCTCAGCCTCCTGAGTAACTGGAATTACAGGCACACACCACCACACCCGGGTAATTTTTGTATTTTTGTTAGAGACAGGGTTTCACCATGTTGGCCAGACTGGTCTCAAACTCCTGACCTCGAGTGATCCGCCTGCCTCAGCCTCCCAAAGTGTTGGGATTACAGGTGTGAGCCATCACGCGTGGCCAGGAAGTGTTTTAATAGCCTTTTCAGGTAATTTTGGATTCTTTTTTCATTAATACTATACTATTATTCAACAAATGGTAGTTTCTTTAAAAAGGTTAATTGCGATATGAAATCTGAAACCTGATCAGTGAATGTTTTATACTCAGTTACATTAAAGTTGATGGCCTGTGTTATACTTCGATAGGATCTTTTACCCATATATTGGCTCTGTAGCATCATTCATTGATGATTTGGAAAATATTGGCTGACTGAGATGTGAAGATCTTTTAAATGTTGATACCTTTCGTCGTATGATCAAATTTGTTAGCATTATCAGTGGGATTTAGACCCACCATCTCATAAGAAACAGCTCTCAGGCCCAGGGTGGCGGCCAAAAGTCTTCCAAAATTCAGATTTTAATTTAAAACCTCAGATATTATCATTGGCAACAAACACAGTTCCTTGTTTCTTTTGAAGT